GAATGATACATTGGATCAGATGGACTTGACAGACATATTTAGAACTCTGCATCCCAAAGCAACAGAATATACTTTCTTCTCTAGTGCACATGGAACCTTCTCCAAGATAGATCACATACTGGGTCACAAAACAGCCCTTCATAAGTTTACAAGAATTGAGATCATACCATGCATACTTTCAGACCACAATGCTATGAAGCTTGAAATCAACCACAGGAAAAAGTCTGGAAAACCTCCAAAAGCATGGAGGTTAAAGACCACCTTACTAACGAATGAGTGGGTCAACCAGGCAATTAGAGAAGAAATTAAAAAATATATGGAAACAAACAAAAATGAAAATACAACAATCCAGACGCTTTGGGACGCAGCGAAGGCAGTCCTGAGAGGAAAATACATTGCAATCCAGGCCTATCTCAAGAAACAAGAAAAATCCCAAATACAAAATCTAACAGCACACCTAAAGGAAATAGAAGCAGAACAGCAAAGGCAGCCTAAACCCAGCAGAAGAAGAGAAATAATAAAGATCAGAGCAGAAATAAACAATATAGAATCTAAAAAAAAAACTGTAGAGCAGATCAACGAAACCAAGAGTTAGTGTTTTGAAAAAATAAACAAAATAAACCTCTAGCCAGGCTTCTCAAAAAGAAAAGGGAGATGACCCAAATAGATAAAATCATGAATGAAAATGGAATTATTACAACCAATCCCTCAGAGATACAAACAATTATCAGGGAATACTATGAAAAATTATATGCCAACAAATTGGACAACCTGGAAGAAATGGACAAATTCCTGAACACCCACACTCTTCCAAAACTCAATCAGGAGGAAATAGAAAGCTTGAACAGACCCATCACCAGCGAAGAAATTGAATCGGTTATCAAAAATCTCCCAACAAATAAGAGTCCAGGACCAGATGGCTTCCCAGGGGAGTTCTACCAGACGTTTAAAGCAGAGATAATACCTATCCTTCTCAAGCTATTCCAAGAAATAGAAAGGGAAGGAAAACTTCCAGACTCATTCTATGAAGCCAGTATTACTTTGATTCCTAAACCAGACAGAGACCCAGTAAAAAAAGAGAACTACAGGCCAATATCCCTGATGAATATGGATGCCAAAATTCTCAATAAGATACTAGCAAATCGAATTCAACGGCATATAAAAAGAATTATTCACCATGATCAAGTGGGATTCATTCCTGGGATGCAGGGCTGGTTCAACATTCGCAAATCAATCAACGTGATACATCACATTAACAAAAAAAAAGAGAAGAACCATATGATCCTGTCAATCGATGCAGAAAAGGCCTTTGACAAAATCCAGCACCCTTTCTTAATAAAAACCCTTGAGAAAGTCGGGATAGAAGGAACATACTTAAAGATCATAAAAGCCATTTATGAAAAGCCCACAGCTAACATCATCCTCAACGGGGAAAAACTGAGAGCTTTTTCCCTGAGATCAGGAACACGACAGGGATGCCCACTCTCACCACTGTTGTTTAACATAGTGCTGGAAGTTCTAGCATCAGCAATCAGACAACAAAAGGATATCAAAGGCATCAAATTGGCAAAGATGAAGTCAAGCTTTCACTTGTTGCAGATGACATGATATGCATGGAAAATCCGATAGACTCCACCAAAAGTCTGCTAGAACTGATACATGAATTCAGCAAAGCTGCAGGATACAAAATCAATGTACAGAAATCAGTTGCATTCTTATACACTAATAATGAAGCAATAGAAAGACAAATAAAGAAACGGATCCCATTCACAATTGCACCAAGAAGCATAAAATATCTAGGAATAAATCTAACCAAAGATGTAAAAGATCTGTATGCTGAAAACTATAGAAAGCTTATGAAGGAAATTGAAGAAGATATAAAGAAATGGAAAAACATTCCGTGCTCATGGATTGGAAGAATAAATATTGTCAAAATGTTAATACTACCCACAGCTATCTACACATTCAATGCAATCCCAATCAAAATGGCACCAGCATTCTTCTCGAAGCTAGAACAAGCAATCCTAAAATTCGTATGGAGCCACAAAAGGCCCTGAATAGCCAAAGTAATTTTGAAGAAGACCAAAGCAGGAGGCATCACAATCCCAGACTTTAGCCTCTACTACAAAGTTGTAATCATCAAGACAGAATGGTATTGGCACAAAAACAGACACATAAACCAATGGAATAGAATAGATACCCCAGAACTAGACCCACAAACATATGGCCAACTAATCTTTGACAAAGCAGGAAAGAACATCCAATGGAAAAAAGACAGTCTCTTTAACGAATGGTGCTGGGAGAACAGGACAGCAACATGCAGAAAGTTGAAACGAGACCACTTTCTCACACCATTCACAAAAATAAACTCAAAATGGATAAAGGACCTGAATGTGAGACAGGAAACCATCAAAACCCTAGAGGAGAAAGCAGGAAAAGACATCTCTGACCTTAGTCGTAGCAATTTCTTACTTGACACATCCCCAAAGGCAAGGGAATTAAAGGCAAAAATGAACTACTGGGACCTCATGAAGATAAAAAGCTTCTGTACAGCAAAGGAAACAACCAACAAAACTAAAAGGCAACCAACGGAATGGGAAAAGATATTTGCAAATGACCTATCAGACAAAGGGCTAGTATCCAAAATCTATAAAGAGCTCACCAAACTCCACACCCGAAAAACAAATAACCCAGTGAAGAAATGGGCAGAAAACATGAACAGACACTTCTCTAAAGAAGACATCCAGATGGCCAACAGGCACATGAAAAGATGCTCAACGTCACTCCTCATCAGGGAAATACAAATCAAAACCACACTCAGATATCACCTCATGCCAGTCAGAGCGGCTAAAATGAACAAATCAGGAGACTATAGATGCTGGAGAGGATATGGAGAAATGGGAACCCTCTTGCACTGTTGGTGGGAATGCAAATTGGTGCAGCCACTCTGGAAAACAGTGTGGAGGTTCCTCAGAAAATTAAAAATAGACCTACCCTATGACCCAGCAATAGCACTGCTAGGAATTTACCCAAGAGATACAGGAGTACTGATGCATAGGGGTACTTGTACCCCAATGCTTATAGCAGCACTCTCAACAATAGCCAAATTATGGAAAGAGCCTAAATGTCCATCAACTGATGAATGGATAAAGAAATTGTGGTTTATATACACAATGGAATACTACGTGGCAATGAGAAAGAATGTAATATGGCCCTTTGTAGCAACGTGGATGGAACTGGAGAGTGTGATGCTAGTGAAATAAGCCATACAGAGAAAGACAGATACCATATGTTTTCACTCTTAGGTGGATCCTGAGAAAGTTAACAGAAACCCATGGGGGAGGGGAAGGAAAAAAGAAAAAAAAAGAGGTTAGAGTGGGAGAGAGCCAAAGCATAAGAGACTCTTAAAAACTGAGAACAAACTGAGGGCTGATCGGGGGTGGGAGGGAGGAGAGGGTGGGTGATGGGTATTGAGGAGGGCACCTGTTGGGATGATCACTGGGTGTTGTATGGAAACCAATTTCACAATAAATTTTATAAATGAATGAATGAATGAATGAATAAATAAATAAACATTAAAAAACATTCTCATTTCTTGTTATGCACCTCACATGCCAGAATATCTTTTTTAATTTACCAACAACAGGAAATATAATTCTCATCTCTTGCCCCCTCCATAGCAGTCAACACTATCGACCAGTCTGTACTTCATTGGAATACCCTCCCCAACTTCTGGACGCCACAGTCTCCCAGATTCCCTCTCCTCTTCGTGCCCACTCCTTCTCATCCCAACTCATTCTCCTCCACCCACCCACAAAAGTTGCAGTTCCTTAAAGGTCAGTGTTAGGCCCTCTCCTTGTTTCACTGTATATTCTCTCCCCACATGATGTCATTCAAGTTCTTTGCGCAAATGTTGACAATTCACAAACATACGTCCAGGTTAAACTTCACCTGTCAGATACAGATCTCTGTATCCGATGGTTTACTTGAATTTCCTTCGATGTCTCAAAGGGAGCTTAGATTCAACAGGTCTAAAATAGAACTCATGAGCTTACTTCCTCAAACCCGGTCTTCTTTCAGCAGTCTATGTAGTGCCACCACCAGACACACGAGCGAAAAACTAGGATTCACGCTGGACATATCCTTCTCCCATTCCCCATATTCTATCCTCCTCCAAGTTTTATTGATAGGATCTCAAATATATGTACAATTATTTTCCCTTTCACCATATTGTCTGCCAATAACTTTAAAGTACCAACATCTCTCGCCTGGGTTAGTGAACTAGCTTCCTCATTCATCTTCCTGATTCTGTTCCCCACATTCTCCACCCTAATCCCAAGCTGAGTCTTATATGGGCTTTTCAAAAGACTGCATGAGTTTCCACATCTCTGCTTAAAATGTGGTTGATTTATTTACATCTAGGAGGCAGGTCTACATCCTTAGGTTCACCAACAAAATCATGAAAGCTACAGCCCCTCTCTGCTAAACCAGTTTCATCTCAAATCATGCCACTCTTGAGTTTTCTAGACTTTAATCTTACCGATCATCTTAATTTCCTTGAATGCCCTGTGCCTGCTCCATGCCACTTCCAACACAGGGACTTTGTACATGCTGTTCCATGTGTCTCTTTCTCCTTTCCCTAGCTATAACTTCATCTGCAATTGCACAGGTGTGATTGCCTCCAGCATGATCCACATGTCCCATCTCGTGCTGCCCTCTGTTGTGCTATGTAACGATGGCTTGTTCACACGCTCGTCTCCTTACCAGAGTAAGAGCTGCTTGCACAGCTCTTTGTATCCTTGCATCCTCAGCAAAAAGCACAGTATCTGGCACCTCACGTTTTGGAATGACTATAATAGGTCATTTAATATCGAGAAAAATAAGTTGTAGGTGGTAAAAATCAATATATACTTTTATGGTACATTAGGGAACAGGTGTGATTTTCCAAGAAAATGTTTTCAAAGAGATTTTATAGAAAATAAGCACCAACATTTCCTTACTTTTTTTGTTTTGCCCATGGCCTTCAGGATGGAAAGATTTAGGTCTTCAAGTGCTGCTAGTACATTCTCATATTCACCCAAGTGCTGAGAAAAATATTCTAAAAGGAAGAATATTGAAAAAAGTTAATGTTTGCATTTAGGTATCCTAAAGAACAGCAAAACCAACTGATGATTAATTCCATAAGTGAGCAAAACAAATTGCATGTTATAACTGAAAACTGGAAGGTTTTCAAAAGAGACTAAGGTGTCAATATATTCATTTCAAAAAAAAAAAAAACACCCTAAACAGTTACAATTATTCTTGAAGAAATGCTTTTTCCTACAGTAGGGAAAAAAATGAATCTGGATCTATGGGCAAGAATATCACAATAAAATCTATTCTCAACAGCATATTATTACATTACTATAGTAATCATTAAGATAGTAGTTTCAGAAAAAAAATACATGACATTTTATCATCTCTTCTGGGAAACATTTAAGGAAGGTAAGCTCTCCTCATGGCTAAGAACTAATAAGGCTACAAAACATGAAGATGGCCCCCTTGGTATCTCTCATGTACTACTCCTGTCATAATTTATTTTTTCCACAATTTGGGCAGAGCAAAAGGTATATTTGCCACATTTTCAGTAGGCAGAAATAAATAATACATTGGGTGTTACAATTAAGAGTATGGAATATAGACGGTTCCCAAACAAGGTGAAATAGAGGAGAGATACATGTAAAACCTCATCTTTACTTACAGAGATCTATATATTTCTGAAATGAGAGATCTAGCTTGACCAAAACTCATAAAGTCATACGCTGAAAAGACCTACAACTTTCAGTCACTAGAAAATCATCAGCCCTCACCATTCCTGTGAACTCATCATTGGATGAGCTGTAGTTTATTATTGCCTCTCCTTAGTGTGCCATAACTATTTGTGGAATCAAATAGAATGACAAGCATAATCCACATAAAGCTATTTGAAATCACTGAGATAAATTTCAGCATGTCTTATGGAAACTTTAATTTATTTCATACTCCAGATGGAATTATTTGTTGACACTGATATTAATAACAAATTGGGAGTACCACTGAATGATTTATTAGTAAGTGTGCAGAACTCATCTGAGAAGAAAAATAAACACAGGTGAGCAATAAATCAATTCTAGATTATGGCTGTCAAACTATGGTTTGTGTACACATGGATTAAAAACACACAGCATGTTTTTGACAAAAAGAAAATGCATTCCTGATGATGTAGTTCTTTAAAAATGTGTGGTGTATATCATCTCATAGAAAGGTTCGTTCAGGAAGGGATTAGTTGGAAGATAAATAAGGAAGCAGATACTCCTTAAATACCTGCTTGACGGTAACATTTTAATTCTTGGCTAGGATATTGACTTCCTCTGAGTGGTGACCAACGTGTCTGACCTTGTCCACGCCATTATTTGCAATCAATGAATAAAACCGTTTATGAAGTAGCAAGCAATTAATGTGGCTACAGAAAATCAATTTAAAAAAATTATTATCAGAACAGAATCCACACTAAGTTGCAACAAGGAAAACGTGTAAAGAAAAATGGAAAAAAGTAAAGCTGTTAGCACATTTTTACTTATTTATATACAAAGACTCAAAAAAGATTGTAATGGGGATCTTAAATGTAAGCATGCAGAAATAGATTAAGTGGAAAATAGGAATGTGGTGCTTAAAAATCAGGTTTAAGAAAAAACAAAACAAGAAGGAACACCTCCTAAAATATTTTCATGAACAATATATCTGGCTTAACTGATGAAGGTCCCTGGAGAGAATATAAATGGTCTTGCCACTGTGAAATTAGATTTATGAAGGCACATGCTGATAAAACACATGGGAAGGTTTCTGAGCTGACACCTATCTAGACTTCGTGCCTTCCTTCTTTTATTCATCCACTCATTCATCTCAATTATCAAAGCAGTTAGGGGGGAAAAAAATCACTCCCTAAGCAATACACTGGGACACAAAGAAAATAACTCTCAGAATAGAGAGAACCGCAGCACCGAAGCTCGGATAGGAGCTTAGGTGTAAGGGTTATTTTGAGGAGGTGCAGGTCAAAGTCACTCAGATTGTATTATAACTTAGTAAGGGGCACGTTCCAGGGCAAGTGGGGCTCTAATGAACTTAAAGTGGGAAGTCAGACGAAAGAGCCAGGACATTTAATACCGATAAAAGGAGAGAATCCCCAATCTCCACTTCATCATGGTGAGCTTTCATACAGTCATTCCAGGACTTAACACACATTTACTTAGTGCCTTATTTAAGGAGCCTACAACCAGGTAGGGTAAATAAACATTCCAACAAATAACTGTTATACACATGATCATTGTGCCAGACAATGGTGCAAGAACCCAGAAAACGGTCCTTCAGAAATGGAGAGATAAACAGTTTTCCAGAGCAGCAAAACCAAAAGGAGTTCATCACCACTAGACGAGCCTTACCAGAAGTGTGAAAGGGACTGCTTTAAGCTGAAATGAAAGGGTACTCACTAATTATTAATGAGAACACATATGAAAGTGTAAATCTCACTGGTAACTGTAAACATATAGTAAAATCCAAAATAATCTAATGTAAAGGTGGTGGGTTAATCGATTATAAAGCTAGTATGAAGGTTAAAAGACAAAAGTATTCAAATAATGATAATTACAATAATTTACTAGAACCACAAAATAAAAGTATGCAAATTGGGATATCTAAAGCATAAAAATTTTCATGGAGGTGAGCGAGTAAAAAATGTAGAGCTTTAGAGCATGTTCAAACATAAGTTGTTATTAAGTTAAAACAGACTGTTCTAATTGTTTTATGTAAGCCTCATGGTAACCACCTACACTAGGTACACACACACACATACACACAGACAAAGAAAAAATTGAAATATACCACTACAGAAAAGCATCAAGTCACAAAGGAAGAAAGCAAGAGAAAAAGAAACAGAGGAACTACAAAACAGTCAGGAAACAATCAATGATACATAAATAAGCATATATGTATAAATACTTAGCTTAAATGTAAATGGACTAAATTCTCCAATGAAAAGACAGTGGATGAATGGATTGAAAATCTTTTGTTGCCACTAAGAGACTTATTTCAGATATAAGGACACAGACTGAAAGCGAAGGGATAGAAAAAGATCTTACATGCAATTAGAAACCAAAAGAAAGCTGAAGTAGCTATACTTAGATCAGATAAAACAGACTTTAAGACAAAGATTATAAAAAGAGACAAAGAAGGTTATTATGTAACAATAAAGGGCCAATCCACCAGAAGGATTACATTTGTAAATATACAGGCACATAACACAGGAGCACATAAATATATAAGGCATATATTAACAGATCTAAAGAGAGAAATAGACAATACAATATAGTAAGAGACTTTAATATGCCGATTATATCAATAGACAGATATCCAAACAGAGAAATCAATAAAGAAACAATGGCCTTAAATGACACATTCGACCAGATAGACTACACACACACACACACACACACACACACACACACACACACAAACACACAGAACATTCCATCCAAAAGCAACAGAATACAAACTCTTCTCAAGTACACAACGAACATTCCCCAGGATAGATTAGATGTTAGGTCACAAAACAAGCCTTAATAAATTTAAGAAGACTGAAATCATATCAAGCATCTCATCTGACCACAATGATGTAAAACTAGAAATTACAAGATGAAAACTGGAAAATTCACAAATCTGTGGAGATTAAACAACCCTCTCTTGAACAACCATGAATCAAAGAAGAAATTAAAAGAGAACACAAAAAAATAACTTGAGACAAATAACAGTGAAAATACAACATACCAAAACTTATGGGATGCAGCAAAAGCAGTTCTAAAAGGGAAGTTCATAGAGTTAAATGCTACCTACATCAAGAAACAAGAAAGATCTCAAATAATAATAATCTTTGCACCTCAAGAAATTGGAAAAAGAACAAATGAAATGCAAAGTAAGTAGAATGTAGATCTTAAAGGTCAGTCATGGGGGGAAATATACAAGGCAGTAACTGTAGTTAGTAATACTGTGTTACATATTTGAAAGTTGCTAAGCGAATACATCTTACAAGTTCTCATTACAAGACAAGAACTGTGTGTGGTGATGGATGTTGACTTATCTATCAAAGTATATTTGTCAATGTCAACGCAGGCATAAGAGTATCTGGAAGGATATGCTCCAAGCAGTTAGCAGTGGAGGTCACTATCAGGCAAAAGGAGAGACAGAGACAGAGAAAGAGACAGAGAGACACAGAGAGAGACAGTGGGAGGGAGGGAGAGAGGGAAGAGGGGAGGCTGACATTTTGTCTTACATGCCAATGTAAGTCTGTATTGCTAAAATTTAAAAACCAGTTAAGTATTATTTTCATAACTAAAATAAAGCAATACTTTATTTTAACATATTTTGATTTCTAGGTGTATAATTTAGTTAACTAAGTAAAAGCAACAGAATGAAAGTTGTTAGATATCTGGACCTTTTAACTGGCTTCCCTGAAAGAGCACAGGAAATCTGTTTTTCATGCCAATCAAATGTCATCCCTCCCATGCACCAGGGCAAATTTGTTCGGGATGTGAGTCGACAGATTTTACTTGCGTGCACTGAAGCATTTGGTTTTGATTAGAATCCAACTTAAATATTTACTTTATATTTACAAAACAACAAGACATGAAACTATACTCTGGAAATTAAAATGCATATTCTTGAGCAGAGAGGGGGAGGATTATAACACACAATTGGGACTACAATCACTGGGTTTAAAAATACAGAGCAATTTGGTTGCATTAAAACCCCATATACTAGTTCCTTAACTATGGGGAAATTCATAGTCAAAGCTTTTTCTAAGTACAGAGTAGGTTTCTAATCGAGTTCTATTATTATAGAAGACAAATTAAACTTTTTTTTGTAGCGGATTAAGTGAAGATACACAATTACACTGAGAGGATAATGTAATACTCTTTGATGGCAATACATAAGCAACATAGCAAACAAGAACCACTAAATGTCTTCATCTTAAAAGCCCTTTTAACAGTTTGCTTTCTCAAGAGCCATGCCTACCTAAGCAAAGTTAAATAGACAACAAAAAGAATTAAGTGGATGATTTGAGGAAATCCTTATTTTGGCCTAACCTATCTAGAAATGGGTCTCCCAACCTCACAAAACTATTGACATAATCTTCTCCATTTCCCTACTTCATCTCTCCACTTCACTGGCAGGGACCATCTGCCCATGGATGAGAATGGATCACAACTTGACCTTGATCGTGATTGCTGTTCTTTAGAAAGCCTGGTGGCCAGGGTCCCCACGGGCCCTTTTGCCTCCTTGGCACAGTTTAATACCCATGTGTGGACAGATCATGGTTTGATTATGTGTAAAAGCATGTCAGGATTTCCTCCGTTTTTCTCTGCTAGTGTTTCATAACTAACAAAACATGAACTGCTTTAGTACCGAGATACCTTGCTTCTCCATCAACAGCTTGCTTTTCAGCTGGATTCTTCTCACGGAATACAAGATAGACACAATACAGGAACAGGAAATAGAGTTTTTTATGACCATTGGAAAATGTGAAACCTCATGGTTGGTGATTATCATATTTGTGTTGTCCAGAGTTCTTTTCTTGAAAGCTTGTATTCTGATATATTGTCTTGGCATATCCTCACTTGGTGTTGCTCTACCATTTTTGATGAAATGGAAGATAACCACTCTTGAATATTGTAAAATGGACTATGTGATGATTTGGTAAACTTCAAATATATAAGGATTATAAGATATTCAGGAAGTGCTTATGACTTCAATTAAGAGTTTCAAAGAATATCATCTATAAAATTACTTCTAAGAAGCCTAGACAATAAACTCAAACCTGGACAAGGTGTTATATATTTATCTTAAAACATAAAGCCTAAAACCTTCCAGTGTTCAGAGAAAAATGGCTGTTTCACACTGAATAGTCTCACAGTGCTCCACAATTTACTCAAAACAAAAGATAAATCTCAGAAATATTTGCCTTCCCACAGTCCTAGCCTTTGACTTTTGTTTCCAGCCACAAAGATGAAGAAAATAATAGAAGAGGCTATTAAATCAAGAATCTGTAGAAATTCCTCTCTCCATTGAAACTTGTTTTGCAAGTGACATTTAAAACTCCAAAACTGTTTAGGCAGGTATGGGACAGAGTTGTTTTTACATGTCAAGGGGGGGTCAGTCTTGCAATCTATTTGAAAAGAATAATGAAGTTGTATTAAACACCAATTTAAAAATATATTCAAACTAGTGGAGAGTTTTCTACTATGAAACTAATTGTACCAAATGCAAACAAAATAACTCTCCTCCATGACCAAATTGAGTCCCAACTCTTTCTGCAATGAAAAACATGCTTGAGTAAAACTCAGTTAACAGAAATCTTTGAGATCTCAATTATCTTTTATATTCCCAAATTCCTAATCTAGGACATTAATTTTAGGGTATATAGAAATTTATATAAGATGGCGTTCTTTTTCATTCTAAAGCAAGTAGTGAGTTTGACTGCCTCCCCCTCTCCCAACACAACTTACCACATAGTTCTTCTGTGTCGAGATTGCTGAAAAGAAAAAAAAAATAGTTACTTTGGTAATATTTAAGTTTTTAAATAGTTAAGTACAGTTATTCCCCAATTTAGGTCACAATAATAATAGAGGATATGTAGTTATGGTATTTTTCATGTAAATTCGACGTTGTTTACTCAATTATGTTAACAATGATTATATCAGATTCTGTCTGTGAACAAATAATTGTTGGGGTTTGTGTTTTCCCCAGTATCATGCTGGGGAATACTGCATACTGGCTGAAGAATGAGAGGCTCTGGAGCCAGAATGCCTGAGTTCAAATCCTGACTCGACCATTTACCACCCTGGGACCCTGAGTACTTTGCATCCCTGGGTCTCGGTTCCTCAACCACAAGGTGGGGATAACTTCTGTTTCATATGAATGCAATAGGATGTGAATGGGTTAATAAATACAAAGCAGCTAAACGAGTGGCACAAAATAAGCACTTAATAAATGTTAGCTATCATGATTTCGGACTTGGTAGAACTACTAGAACTTCCATTATCTAAATTCAATCTTTGAGGGAAGTTTGACTCAATGTCTTCTTGGAATGATTTCTAAAACATAATGAAGAGTTACACGGCTTAATATTTACATGTAAACAACAGATGCCTTTTATGAATGTAACTATGGAACAGCAGATGAAATGTTAGTAGATATAATACATTCCTATCAGAATAGTGTCTTGACCGAGGAAGGCTTGGTAAAGGAATGCAAGAATGGTCCAAAATCAGGCAATAAATAAATACAACACTACACTGTAACTTAAAGGAGAAAATTCATATTAACTACTAGATGAGACATTAATAAAATTTTAATTTTAGAAAGTTCATTTAAAATTTTTTTGAAGTTTACTTATTTTGAGAAAGAGAGAGAGGGAGGGGCAGAGAGAAAGAGAGAAAGAGAAGGAGAGAGAGAATCCCAAGCAGGCTCTGCACTGTCAGCACAGAGCCTGAGGTGGGCTCAAACTCACGAACCTGTGAGATCATGACCTGAGCCAAAATCAACGGTTGGATGCTTAACCAACTGAGTCACGCAGGCACCCCATTAATTTTAGCTAGTTTAAATGAAATTGAAATAAAAGTAAATCTCTTAAAGATTAGAAAGACTTACTAAGAGTCAGCTGCCAAGCACCAATTGACTGAAAATCTTGTACTTCATACAACCGCCACAGATCAAAGTTCAACGTAAATGACCATCATGATCCAGTTATCGTCTACACAGCAGTCAGGGTTGCTGGACACTGGGTCATTTTACCAGTCCCGTCGCTAATCGTAGTGTGATTTTAAATTCAGGATTCTATCCTTAGACATTGAGTATTTGATCTTGGATAAAGGGCATCTCCTTCCTTAAGCAGATCTCTTTGTAAAGCTGTATGTGCCACCAGGCAGAACATGTAAAGTCTTCTGCGGAAGTTTTGGGGTAGGCTTCTGTTCATTCATTTATCCCACGGGCTTTCACCGCTACACACCACGCATTGTTCTGTCATAATCAACCAGGTGGCAACAGATCCTGAGAAGAGTATGACCAGTCACTAGTCTCTAGCAACTGGATAGAGCTAAACTCAGAGAGTAAATAACTAAATGCAATTAAATTGCTGCTATGGGGGAAGTGGTTGACCTCAAGGTCAGCAGTGACTCCAGAGGATAAAATTTTGAGTTTAAAGAGGAGTAGAAAAGGCAGACAAAGGAAGACCATTCCAGTGAGAAGAAACGCTATTTGCAATAACAACTACAAATGCGAGGAGTAGTTCCTGTGGCTGCAACATAGGCCATTAATGAAGAATGGGACCAAACAATGAAAAGCCTCCTGTGATAACCTAGTAGGTTTCTTGGTTCTCTTGCCAATTTGGAATCATACAGGATTTTAAAGAAGGTGAGTGACATCATCAGATTTATACTTTAGGAAGGTCACTGACAGACGGGTTGAGGTTAGATAAAAAGAGGGCGAAAAGAGGCCAAGAGACCAATGTGGACATTGTTACTAGACTCTGGGCCAGCTGATCCCAGATTGGAGGGTAGAACCCAAGGGGTGTGCAAGGCCATCCACTGGAGGCAAGAAGATATATACTTCAACTTTATACACACACACACTTAAAACTTTTTATTTTGAAATAATTTCAAAATCTACAAAAGTGCCCTTCACCTAACCCCTCCCCCAGTTGTCAATATTTTATTTCATTTGTCTTACCACCTTCTTTATTTTCTCTGTTTATGTCTTTTCAAACCATTTGATCGTACGTTGCAGATATGATATCCCTTTACCTCTAAGTACATCAGTGTATATTTTCTATAAACAAGGAAGAAACTTACATACAAGTGAAATTAATATCCATTCAATGCCATTATCAAATCCAGCAGTTCTCAAATATTTGTATTTGTATTTAACTTTATGCCTTTTCATTTCTTTTTGTGTAACTTTATAGTGTATTAATATTAATACAGTGGTGCACACATAGGATTTGTAAGTCTTTATATGGATTTCGAGGCAAAAAGCAGTAGCTAATATGGGAGCTTGGAGGAGGGGGCAAAAAGAATAGACAGATGTGAAGAATTTTGAGGGAAAACCATCAAAACTTGGAATCCTGTTGGATTCAGAATTAGATCACTTAGAAATGTTTGGTATCATTTCAAACATTTTGTTCATTAAAACACAGGTCATTTCCCAACCTTACTGGTTTCACAGAGCTTCAGACTTAAAAAGGACATTAAAGGTCACTTTTGTTTTTGTATTTTCTTCAGAACGGTTCACAGGTTCATAATGAGATTTCTTTTTCATTTCAAAGGAATAAACAGCCCAATCCATTATGAAAATTAAATTACGTGGCATATATCCTAAAACATAGTAGTTCAGAGTAATTTGAATGACATTAGCTGCACTTGTTCCTTAATAAAAGGCTATGTTCCTAAAGTACTATAGTGCTCCTCTCCTCAAACATTCTTTAGCTTTCTGTGCTATGTTGTTTGTAGTAGGTAATAAAGCATAGTTCTTTTTTCTTTTTCAATTTTATTTATTTTGAGAGAGACAGAGAGAGTGCGAGCTGGGGAGGGGCAGAGAGAGAGGGAGAAGCTTAAGCAGGCTCCGCAATGTCAGCACATGGCCCCACGCAGGCTAGAACTCACGAACTGAACCGTGAGATCATGACCCGAGCCAAAATTAAGAGTTGGATGCTCAACGGACTGAGCCACCCAGGTGCCGCCGGTTCTTTTTTTATAGTAGACTTACCTGTGTGAATTCTATAGGATTGATTTCTTACAGGATACCTCCAGCCTGTAGTAACGTGGGATTGTAAAGGAATATTAAGCCGTAGATGAGCCTAGAGGATATCCGATAGCATGGGATATTGTTCGGTTTCTTTTCATGTTTGTAGCAAGAAAACCTATATTCTTTTAGCTATGCCATTTTTTTTTTTAAAGAAAGCTAAATGGAAAGAATAAATGCTAGTTACATTGTAAACATTCTTACTGAAACAGAATCAGAGGGGGTGTTACTATCAGAATGCATTCTCCGCTAGATGCCAAAGAGGGGTAAAGAACAAACATATTCATTGCAGCCTGACTGACAACTGTGGGGAAAAATTGAAACAAACTAAATGTTCATTAGCTGAATAACTAAACTGCATATCATTATATAATCATTAAAATGTATCCACAGAGTTGTCAATAGCTTGAAAAATGCTTAAGTTTAGAAGTTACGTAAAAATGTGAAACCAGATATAAATGGTATATATAGAACCAAAAAATGTGACTTGGGAAGAAGTGAGGAACCATATCAACAGCAGATCGCATTGCTGCTGGATGCTATGACTTTGGGTGGGTTTGCTCTTTCCTTCTTTACAGCTTTCGAAACCTTTGTTTTTCTTATCATTACAAGGTTTCATTTATACTGGAAAAAGTATACTTCATGATTAAAAGCAAACTGAAGCAGGAAAAGATGTTAAGCATAAAAGGCAAGGTTCGTGTCATTCTGTACACATGACTTGACTTGTGAATCCATTTAGTATAAGTTACAATATACCTGTCCGTTTGGATTTGCCACTCAATTTTGCAAAAGCACCCCTCAGAAACTCCAAGAACAGCAAGGACAAGATACACTGCATGCCATTCATTTACAAGTCTTGGGGACAGCTGAAGTTGTTTTGATTTGATCTTCTGTGTTGGGCACTCTGAGTTCGGATGAACTAAACTGCTCTCCTGAGGAGTATGTCTACCGTCAAGAAAAGAGAAAATATTTGGGAAGTCCAGACTGATTTCTACTTGAGAATTCAGAATCTTTCTAATAGAACCTTTTACATGCCAGCTCTCAATTCTAGGATCCACCTCAAAATAGTCTTGGCTTCATGTTAACATTCTTAGTCATCTCTGAAGTATTTTCTAACAGAGTTGGCTGCCTTTGCTGTATAAATAAGTGACTCTCTTGCTGAAAAACCACCATTCTGAACTCCTTCTTTTCTTCTGATTATATTCAAGATTTTTAGCTTCTTCCTCAAAATTAATACACTGTGGATCTTAGCAGGAATCTTTAAAGTCTAAGTTCTAGCTCACCTTTTACTGACCTTCCAGTGCATCCCTCAGCCGCCTGAATATCACCAGTGTAAACAGGTTTCTTCTTCAGTGGACAAAACAGTTTGCTAAACACTGCTAAGCTTCCTAATAACCTGAAGGAGTTAACACTGGCCTCCAAAGAGGTTTACTTCTAGACAGTATTTGAGGCAAGGAGAATGTGACTCAATGAGCCATGCACTTAGCTCCTCCCTGATGGGAGCACTGTAGTGATACCCACTTGGGTTTATCGGCAGACTAGCAGGCTGGCTACGTCACAAATATGCTCAGCCATCACAGTGTTCATTTTACAGAAGAATATCACGATCTTCCAATTCACTAAGAATAATCCGAGCAGAATATCTTTCTGTTAGCATCAGAGCAACTGTGTTCAGCTAGTTCTGACTCACCAAGCAAAACAGCATTAAGGAAAATCAACAGAAGCAGTATCGGAAGATCCGAATGATAAAGGACCTGACCTTGCAAATAATGTTGGGATAGATTGTAATTCCATGATGTGTATATGTACTTGATCACACAAGAATCCCCGCCCCACCAGAGGGACAGGGCAGATTGTGAGAGAGACTGGAGCCTAGAATGGGATGTGCCTCCTGGGGGAGATCAGGTGCTACAGACACAAACTGAACTGAGGTGAGCGCTCTCAGCTGAGAGACATCCATCTGGAGGACAACAGAGACAGAACGGGGGCCAAAGGGATTTTAGGAGCAGATTCTTTTCAGATATCCTCATAGGTGGGTCAGGGGAGGGGGCAAGTTACTTTAGTCACCAGACCCCTGACCCAAGAACTGAATATGAGGGCCCAGCATGAATGCAGGTCCTTGCTTATAAAAGAACAGCAATACCACAAGGGTTATCAAATAGGGGCTTGGGCCGTGCAATGAGCCAAGGAAACCAGAACCAGGCCAGAAATGGAGATTGTTTTTAAACATTAAAATTTTTTCCCAGTGTAAAATGATTACCACAATCAGGCTGATGAACGCATTCATCATTTCACATAATTACCATCTTTTTTAAGATTCGTTCTTATAATCAAGACAAATACTCAGTTGTCAGAAGCAAGACAATAAATGAGGCCAGGCTATCAACATGGTTGACATGACGTGGCATTCCAGGACAACCGAGTAAACACTCGTAAGAGCTCTGTAAATCCCTTCTGCTGAAGGCCACAATTGTTCCTAGAGCCAAAAGTGAGTCAGACCCTGTGATTACCTGTGAAATGGTCCCAAGGATATGGAGATGAGGGCTAAGGAGTGTTGTAGGCAGGCAGCATTTGGCAAGCAGCTGGCTCTAAGTGCAGGCTTAGAGTCTATAGTGATCATAACAGACTTTGCATTTGGGTGTCCTCTATAGGAGGAATTTGTAGGAGGTACCACACGCAAGAGTCTGAACCCTGCTCATACTGGGGCCAATTAAGGACCGACTATTTTCACATATAAACACAATGTCTCATGCGAGAGACAAAATGAGATTGGAAAATCATTGCTTTTCCAGTCGAAAGTTAATCATTTACTCCCCCAAGATACAGTAAACATTTGCTGCGTGCATTGTACTGGGTTGACCTGTGTCCCCCAAGAAGATCCGTTCAAGTTTTAAACCCCATACCTACGCCTATGGTCTTGTTTGGAAATAGGATCCTTGCAGATGTAATCAAGTTAAGATGAGGCCATGCTGAGTGACGGTTGGCCTTAATCCAGTGATGCGATCTGTAGAAGGGAAGGGAAGCTTGGATTCAGAGACAGACAGGGAGGCAGAGCCTGGCATGATGCTGCCATAAGTCAAGAATACCAACGCTCACCAGCAACTATCAGCTAGCAGCTGGAAGAAGCAAGGAAGAATACCCGCCCTGGTGCCTTCAGAAAAAGCATGGCCCTTGATGAGACTTCTAGCTTCCAGAAAAAAAATTGGTATTTGAGGCTACCCAGTCCGTGGTACTTGGTCACGTACCTGGGAAGCTACTACGTGTTTTGCTACACACCGTGGGAGGTTCAAAAGTCACACACACAAAATAGTACCGTCTTTTCCCTTCTGTGGCATTTTAGTAACCCTGGAGCATTTGGTGAACTGAAGAGCTGGTTCAAAAGTTCTTACTAGGGGCGCCTGGGTGGCGCAGTCGGTTGGGCGTCCGACTTCAGCCAGGTCACGATCTCGCGGTCCGTGAGTTCGAGCCCCGCGTCAGGCTCTGGGCTGATGGCTCAGAGCCTGGAGCCTGTTTCCGATTCTGTGTCTCCCTCTCTCTCTGCCCCTCCCCCGTTCATGCTCTGTCTCTCTCTGTCCCAAAAATAAATAAACGTTGAAAAAAAAATTAAAAAAAAA